TGAAGGCCTCCTGGAAGAGGTCCCCTCCGCCGGCCTGGTCGGCCGTGGCGTCCTCATCGTGCTCCCTGGGCTCTTGGTCCTCAGGGATGACTTTGCTAACGAGGTTGCGGTTTGACTTAGTTCTCCCCATGATCAGTGGTTAGCTGTGCTTGGTAGCGACGAAGGGTGCTAACTTGATTGTTCTAGCTCTCAACGAGAGCACCAAATGATAGAGTATATATCTAGAGAGAAGTGAGAGCTAGAGAGAGAAGTAGTATATTTGCTTGGTATTAATGAATTCTGAACCCCTACAACTACTCCCAAGGGGAGTATTTATAGAGAAAATACGGGCTGGGCTCCCAAGCCTTAGGCTTGGGAGGCCCATTTACAACTGGACCGCTACTGGGCCGAATACAAAGCCACTAATGGGCTGTACAAATGAGTAAGTGTAGAATCCGGTTCTGTGGGGTCTCCGTGGCCGACGAGGGCGTGGCCGACGAGGGCACGGCCGACGAGGGCACGGCCGACGAGGGCACCCGGGTTCCTTGGCTTCAGGACCATGATCTGAGTTGGCACCTTTTCGGCCGACGGGGGTCCCTTGGCCGACGAGGGCGCCACTCTGTGTCTTGTGCTTTCTGTTCTTTCGAGTATGTGGGTCCGGGGGCTCAGACCCATATACTCCATCACTTTTCATCGCAAAAACTGATAAGTTGTTGATTTTGATATGTAACATGTCATTTTAAAAAGAAAATAGAACTACTTTATACTTTGTAGAAGGTCTAGTCTAAATCAAGTTGCTGCAACTTTTAAGATAAATTAGAGTGCAAGAACTTCTTACAAAAGTGAGGACTAAATAGAAATACTTCTACATGATATGATATGTGCAAGCTATAAAGTTGCTAAAACTGATAAGTTGTTGATATTATTTAGAGAAATTATTTTTCAAACAGAATAAAATATACCTTATTCATTAATTGGAGCTTCCTCATTTCTCTCTGCATCATTCTGCTCATCTAGATAAAGCAAAACAGAAACATTCAAACTTTTAGATAAATAACTTTAACTTTTAATAACTTTAATTTAACTTTTAAATATAAGAGTATTTATTATAGAAAAAATTCCACTTTTGGTCCCATGACTATTATATCACTTCCACATTTAGTCCCTTACTTTCAGATTGTCCACATTTAGTCCGTGACCATTATCCCCTCACCACCCCTCATCCTTCTGGCCAAAATTCCGGCAAATTTAATCCATTTATCAGCATCAGAATCAGTCTTTGCATTAAATTTTATATAAGGTTGGTTTTTCATATCAGTCTTTGCATTAAATTTGGGTTTCTCACTTTTCAACCGTAGAAGGCTTCTCACCAGATCTATTCCCTATATATATAGTCCTATTCCTGTCCAGCCGACCTGACGAGAACCGTCATCCGGTCGAGGGCATTTCGGGCCCTTCCTGATGGATTTTTTTATGAAGTATTTTGAGCATGTTCTTAATAAAGTTTAGTTTATCCTTACAAAATTTCACCTAAAAATTCCATTGGGAAGATAGTCAAATAAATTGTTTAAGAACACTGCGCAGTTAATATATATAAACAACACAGTATTTATCAAAAAATCATTTGATTGTCTTCTTGATTGAATTTTGATCTGAAATTTTATATGGGTAAACTAGTCTTAATTGAGAACATGCTCAAAACATTTCATAAAAAATTCCACTGGTAAAGGTCCGAAATGCCGTCGGCCGGATGGCGGTTCCTGTCAGGCCGGGTTGACATGAAAATTTCTCTCTCTCTCTGTATACACACACACACACACACACACACACACACACACACACATATATATATATATATATATATATATATATATATATATATATATAGGGTAAGGATCAAATGAGAATACCATCTTAGGAGAGAAATGAGAATGATTTTGGAGCGTTGGATTTGAGCATTGTGCATCATGTAAAACAGAAACGTGCATATAAAAAAATGGAAAATGTGTATTTCGTCTGTGCAAAATTTTAAATGTATATGTGCACATTATAATTTTGCATTACTTTAACTATAAATGTGCAATTTTGTGAAAGATAAAGTGCATCGTTTTGGAGCGTTCTCATTTCTCACGTTAAGGAGTGTTCTCACCGGAACCGCACCCTATATATATATACTAGTTTAATAACGCGCGTTGCGCGTTCGTAGTAATGTCCAATGTCAATGTAGGGACACACAATATCTTAGTTAAAGTTTAATGAAAATATGACTAATATGAGTAAAATGGTTGATACATAATTTGTTATTTATGGATAAAGAATCATAAACAATAAAGCATTTATAGGATAGAATATATGTGGGAAAATAAAATAGACAACATGATTATAATAAACAGAATAGTAGTGCGATTCACATGAAACAATAGTATGTATTTGTGTTTTATATCAAAACACACATAATAAACACAAAAATGTTTTAATCAAAGAAGTAGTCAAATATGTATTGGGCTGTAGCGCTTGAAAGAAAATTAAAGCAATAGTTCTAGGAAAATAGTTGGAGTAATAGAAGTAGTGGGTAATGGTGATAAGTAATCAAGCTTTTCTCTGCCGCTTCAAATCAACGGGTGAATCTTCTATTCCGAGTGTGGGAGCTTCATCTTTGATGAAGGAGGGGTCGATGGATCAATGTTGGTTGTGACAATGTAATGAGATGCATCATGCAAAGATGTTATGGTGTAGGAGGGTCCTGGGTTGGTTTGATAAGTACTTGCTTGTGACCTCAGTTGTACAATATACTCTTCCTTATCCAAGCGCTTGTTTGCATATTGAAATGATGCCTTCTTACCCTTCATAATTTATAAAGAGGGGTCAACATATTGTGTAGTGTCAAATTATAATATTTCATGTATTTTAAATTTAAAGTATTAAATTAGTGTAGCTTGGTAATTGGTCAACCTGTAGCTCTACTTCCATAATTTGTTTGCTAGTCATGAGGAGAAGTTTTTCCACGCATTGCCCAAAAACCGAGGCATCAATTGTTGAAGTAGTATCGGTGATTGAGACATTCGCTCTGGATCTAATAATTTCATAAAAAAAATCCAAGAATTGTCAATAGAATTTTGTTTAACTTTTGAACTCAGAAAAGGTTGATCATATATTCAATGGGTATTTTTGATAGCTGACCTTGGAGTAGCAATTGCATCCTTGGTACCACAATGCATGCAAAAAAACCTTGTATTAGAATCTGCATAAACCGTTTTCAAACAGTTGCTACAAGCCATGTACCAAAGACTATCACCTTCAAGCTGCAGAATGATTTTGCCGTGAATACAAACGGGTTTCGTCTGCAACATGTCAATCAATCATTGTTATGATGGATCCATATATTATTATTATTATTATTATTAGTTATTTTGTTTAAGTATTGCAGAACATACCGGATCAATTGATGGAGGTACTTCAGATATTTTAGAAATTTCAGCAACGACTGGAATTGCAAGGTTAATTGCAGCGTTATTGTATTCACGGCATATCTTTAGTGCATCAAGAGTAGGACGATTTTCAACTGCCCTGCATAAAGCAAGGTGGAACAAATGTTAATGTGAGAGCATACGCAAGGAATTGGTACGAGATTATGTATATTTATTATATGTGATGCAGTGACGTACCACTTTTGCAATTGTTGAGCTCTTGAAGATATAGGATTGATTGTTATTGTAGAATGGGGTTTTGTGGACAATGAAATACCTTCAAAACCCGTATATATAGTGAAAATATAGAACATTGTGATAATGAGAATTTAGAACAACAATAATTTTATACAATTACGTATGTAGGTATATTATACAAGGATAGCATTATATGGAGGAAATAGATGCATATGGTATGGCATAATTTGAAATAGAAAATACTTTAACTATAATGTGTTGACAAAGTGGACATGGAGGTAGATATACATATGTTCCATTATTCGAAATAGAAAATACGTAAGATTTGAAATATGCACCACCACCCCATGATCATTTTAGCTATGTTGTACTACACACTGTTTTACTTTAAATTCAAATATATTATTAATTAATACAAATGCTATATAAATGATTTGAAACTTCATAATAATTATTTTATATCCATCATCTTCATGTGGCATTAGAATCTTCATATTTGGCCAAGGGAGGTCTTATAAGATTGGAGACCAGTGATGAATCATAAAACACCTCCTCATGTTTAGATAAAAGTATTACATTTTAATTTATTAAATTTTAATTTATCCATAAAAATCAAATGGCAAGAACTTAAAACGGGGATCATCCCATGATTGAAAAGGTTACACTTTGTGTATGCTTAAAAGTATTAACTTTATATATATTCATAAAACTATTAGTTTTGTGTATTGATAAAATATGTGTTGGGAAAAACATTTTTTGGAAAATAATTGGTAGTGATTATTATAGCTATTTACCTTTGAAGGGTGTGACACCTATATTTTCAATAGATATGAGGGGGTATTCGTTGTCATTCAGCAAGTTGACAATTTCGCTTCCCTCAGTATCAGCAAAATCTCCCCAAAGAGTCAGTGCTACTGGTTTCAGCCTGTAATGATATGCATTTGTTATTGATTTATACATATGAATGAATGGTTGGTTATGTGATAAATAAATGTAAGTATTATGGCAGACATACTTTTCATCGACCAACACAATCTCCTTGATATGTTTATCACCCTTACTGGTGGGAATGACTTCCTTTGGGAGTGTTGTATGAAAAATAAAATTTCAAAAAATGAGTACACATGAGGGTGATTTTTGCGTAGTCATAAACAAATTGAATGTATAGATTTTTAGAGAGTTAACTTACATATTTCAATTCCAGATTTCATGCAGTGGTAAACATCATAGAAAGCGTTGTATACTTTGTTATTTGCGTCGATGAAAGCAGATGAATCACGTAGCGGTTGGACGACTGTACGACCACTTAATATCCATGTGTACTTATACCTCTCATCTGGAACACTGTAATTAGGACGTTGAGGTTTGACACTCGCATTGGAAATGGTGTAGCAGGAGTCAAGATGGAGTGTGGAGTTGTATCTTGGGATGTCGTTGTCAAAAACCACCGCTTGAACTCGGATTCCCTTTTTAATCATTAATAAAGGTGTTTAGAATGGTCAATGGTTTCATTATAAGAGAGATAAAGACATTTTTTTAAAACATAATTAATTGTTTCCACATATAATTCGAAAGTACAAACTGCGTAAATGATAATAAGTCCTGTTTAGCAAATATAGGAGACATATTTAAATGTCTGATATCCATTCTTGCAGAATGAAGGCCTGAAAATTGCCAGTTGTTGACTCCCTTATTGTGTAGATTTTCATAGATTTACCGATCGATCAAAATGACTTAAATGAAGCAATAAAGAGAATAGAAGATGCTATTTACACAACCAAAACAGTTACATATGTATGACCATTGTTGGGAATATTTTATGGTGTTCAATCTAGTTAGTTATCTTTGTATTTGTGTAGTTATTAATTAATCGTGTAATACGGGCCACAAATGTGTATCAGCCCGTGGGCTTCCTTGTAACCCGTAAGTTAGCCAACTTCTCCTATAAAAGGAGGCTAACTTACGGGAACCTAACTGATCGTGAGAGGCTGAGACACAGAGGCGTAGAGATAGAGAGAAATTAGGTTGCCACTGCTCTCCTTCTCCAGGGAGAGTAGCGGCAGATTCATACGGTATATCAGATTCGCATTCAATCTTGTCGATTTCTTTCTATCTGCTTCTTTATCAATGCTATGGTTGTATGATTGTTAGTATTTTGGGACTAACATTTGGTATCAGAGCCGAGGCGTGAAACAGGTTGGATCTGTCTACGATTTTTTGGATTTAACGAAGAACTGCTCTGTTTTTTCTTCTGTTTTTCTACATGTAGAGATTTGCTCCTGTAATCTCGTTTGTGAACGAAATTTTGTAAAAATCATACTGTTGGATTCGCCTTTCAAAACCGATCCAGCAGCATACCTCTTTTTTCGTTTTCTGCAAATTTTATATTTCGAAGATCTCTACTTTGAGATCTCGAAATCCTTATTTTTCACTGCTGCAGAAACGTTTTTGGCTTGAAACTGATACAGGAGAATCTCGACTTTCAGGGCTATTCAGAACAGGTTTCAGATTTTCAAAAATCAATGTTTTCGTTTTGCAGGATCTCGACATTTAGGGACTCTATTTCTTCTTCTCGACATCTTGATCTCGAGATTTGCATCTCGACATCTTGATCTCGAGATTTGCATCTCGACATCTTGATCTCGAGATTTGAATCTCGAAATCTTGATTTCTAGATTTGCATCTCGACATCTTGATCTCGAGATTTGAATCTCGAAATCATGATCTCGAGATTTGGATCTCGAAATCAAGATCTCGAGATTTGAATCTCGAAATCATGATCTCGAGATTTGGATCTCGAAATCAAGATCTCGAGATTTGAATCTCGAAATCATGATCTCGAGATTTGGATCTCGATGTTTTGGATCTCGACATTCTGAAGATTTCGAGATTTTCAAAATTTCTCGATGTTTTGAATCTTTCAAAGTTTGCAGTTTCTTGGAACTCATAATTCGAATCTTGACATCCTTTGCAGTTCATCGAAACTTTACATTATAAGGATCTCTAAATGATTCCCTGCTTATATATGTTTCATGAGTTTTCGATGTTCTGATGTTTTTCAAACAGCAAGTTTTCGAGATTATGAGGTTTTCGAAACTCCAAAGTTTTCGATGTTCAAACATTTTGAAATTATGCAGATTTCGATATTCTGAGGTTTGTTTTGCAGGTAGATTTGGCCATTATTCTTCGAGGGAATCTCTAGAATTTTGTTTAAAATCCACCTGCTCTCGACATTCAACATCGAGCACCTCATCTTCGAAGAAATTCCTCAAAAACTCAAAATTAGAGATTTTCTGCGACACCGCACTGTTTTGGCCATAACGTTTGACTCGCTGATCCGATTTGAGCAAACTTTTTTTTGTTGGAAAGCTAACGAGAAGATCTACATTAATTCTGGGGCTACGCCCCAGAACCCGTTCTCACGCGCCCTCACTCGCAGTCTTTGAGGTTCAAAACGTTAGTTTTCCGACAAACTTTGTAAATCACCGATGTCCAGGTCAAAACTTAGGCAAATCTGTTCAAATTCTTTCAAAGTCCACCCTGAGGTCAAAGCTTTTCTAAACTTCAATGTAAAGGTCTGAAAATCGTAGATAATTCAATCAACCTCGCGTCAACGGTCATCTTACGACAATCAACAATCAACTGTTGAAGCCTCCCCTGACTCATCAACATTATGTGATCATCAACATGCTGAAATTCTACATGGTGATCTCAGGAAACCGTCATGTGTGGTACTTGTTCAGATTGCTCCACACACATGGCGGGGATGACAAGCTGTGAGCAATCAAACCTTGCACATTCTGAGGGGGATTTTCAGTTTTCTCCTCCTGGCGCCTTACACCGACAAAGCAAGGAATCTCTCAACGGATGCAACATTCTAGGGGGAGTGTTCAAAGTAATCCTCCCCGGTGCCTAACAATGACAAAGCATACCGAGTGCTCCAGTTGAGGGGGAGTACAGAGAGAAAATGAAGGAAGTAATGAGAGAACATGTCCCTATGGCTTAGTAAACCCAACTAAGCCTACCCAAGGGACAAAGCCGAGCGTAAGTGCGTAAGTGAGCGAGTGAGTGAGTGAACATTATGAGCATTAGGAAGCAGAAGGCTCAAGTGAGAAGAAAAACAATTATCAATGATGAGTCTGCTACCTCAATTGCCTGGTATGAATTGAACATTTGCTCCTAGCCACTAAAATACTCTGGACTATCCCCATAGGTTCAGGACTGAATTTATTCAGATCCCGGGTAGAAGTCGCTGCATTTTGTCCAAACGGCGCATGCACAACCCTACCCTAGACCACTCACTTGTCTCCCAACAGACAGGTGTTTAATCATAGTTCACGGGGAACCGCATCTCTCATTACTGTCTCCTTCCGAGGCAAGTAATACTGACTACAGTGGCCTCAGCCCCATGCCACTGAACTTTCATTGATCACGTCGTGTCTAGTTACTCACTCCCAAATGTTTTGAAATTTTCTAGGACACAGACACATTTTAGAGTCAGTTGCTAGTCTTCAAGACTTGCGAGAACTTCCATAGGGCTCATCTAATACAGATGTAGACCAATAATTGGAAGGAAGTCCTGCTGTTGCAACATAAGAATCACCAACATTTTCAGGCCATTGCTTTAGAGTTTATCTCTATAGTGATGATAACGGGCGTCTTCACGACCCCGGGGGGCTACGTTATCTTTTTTAGATTCTGCTTGTTTTTCATGTTTTTATTTCCTCAGAATAAAAGAATAAAAGCATGACGTCCCGATTCATCGGATCGTCATGAGGGGGAGAGTGGTCCACATGCTGTTAACACTGAACAAATCATTCTGGGACACTTCACTCCTCCATCACAAAATTCAACACCCTCTCTACTATCTCCGCAACTCAAATCAAATGGTCAGCTACACTCACAAATCAACCATCATTATGTTCCGCTGTGCCACCGACAAGTTCTCCTCAAATGCATTCATTCCAAATAGTCAAAAAGACTACATTGTGGAGGAGACAGAGGTCAAATACTCGTGTCCTGAAGATGAATTCCATGGGCGTCTCCTATTCTCCAAAGAACATTCATTCTAGAGGCGTCACCGGACTTTATCCAAGCTGATCAAGAGCAACTTCTGGAAGGCAAGGATTACATGCAAGATACAGAAGGTCCCTCAACCCCCGGCATCAAAGATCAAATTGTCAAGAAGACATCAAAGGGGAGATTGCAAGGATTTCTTCAGATAGCCTTCCTCAGAAGTCAAGTTCAAAGACAAAGGAAGCTCAATAACAACAAAGACAAAGATATCTGCGCTGCAATGCTGATTCAACACGATTGATCACCAAGGGGGAGATTGTTGGGAATATTTTATGGTGTTCAATCTAGTTAGTTATCTTTGTATTTGTGTAGTTATTAATTAATCGTGTAATACGGGCCACAAATGTGTATCAGCCCGTGGGCTTTCTTGTAACCCGTAAGTTAGCCAACTTCTCCTATAAAAGGAGGCTAACTTACGGGAACCTAACTGATCGTGAGAGGCTGAGACACAGAGGCGTAGAGATAGAGAGAAATTAGGTTGCTGCTGCTCTCCTTCTCCAGGGAGAGTAGCGGCAGATTCATACGGTATATCAGATTCGCATTCAATCTTGTCGATTTCTTTCTATCTGCTTCTTTATCAATGCTATGGTTGTATGATTGTTAGTATTTTGGGACTAACAACCATAAACTGTTGAAGTTTCGAACTAAAACTAATATGATGTAATGGTGTAAAATCTCTAATATTAAAGATTATGTTAAAACTGGATGCTATGAACTATGTATCTGGCTTAGAAGTTGAAGTTGACTGGATGCTGTAAAATTTTAGATTACTAATATGAAGTGGCTGCTGTTTTTATCCAAATGTTAAAGATTTTATAATATTAATATGAGTTGAAGTTAAGGGAACCACAGTCCATCTAATTTGTCACACTTCAGGAACTACTACTACTACCCTAATTAGAACAAAATATAATATAATTGGTTATGTCACTAATTCTTTAAGCCATGTTTGACATGTTGAGATAATAGCTGAAAAAATGCAGCTAGAAAATGAAAGTTAAAAATAACACCTTCCATCAGAACAAAGTATCATGCCCAAAAGACTTTTGTGTGCAGAAAAAGAACAATTGTTGAACAAATAAGACTAAGCTTTCATGTAATTTTTTAGAGAAACAGTTCCACATAAATGAAGCATTATATTTAGTTAATCTAAAAATATGGCCAATATTGATCACTATAATTTAAAAAACTAAATGTGATAAATTTAAATAAACCAACATGTATATGGATTCATGTAGTAAATAACCATGTTTAATGAGGAGCTTTTATTGAGGATGGAGGTAGTATTAATATAGGTGAACTGTTGGGCATATTTGGCGCTGAAATAAAAAAGGGGAACAATTCAATGTTTTAATGAAAGCATTCTAAGATTATATTACCAAACAAATGAAAAGTTAAGGTCTCTTCTATGAAATAGCATAACATATATCATCAAAATTTTTAATCATATTACTGTTACCAAACAGAGCTTATATATTCATTTAAAGTTCAAAATAAGCTATGACCACTCAAGTCTTTAGGGCAATGTAGCATTAAACAACATACAATAGTATAAGATGGTACCCGTTGTATTGGAAAATGATGATTACATGTTTGTCTTCGAGCAGGATTTGCATGAAACGTTTTCCAGGTGTGTTGCTTGACAACTTTTCATCGAATGTTTTCACAATACGTACTTGACAACTCCATCCTCTCATTTGTGGGGTGATGTTCACTAAGTCAAGTGCTTTTGCCATAACAACCTGTATACATTGTGAGAATTATTTAATGGCAAAACAATTGTAGTAAAATCACATAATGTGTAGGACTGACCTATTTGGTTGTAGGAGCTTTGCATGCTTAATTCAATATCTCTTGATACACAATGTTTTGAGTGATATTTGTATGGTGTGTGTCTAAAGAGCTATTGCAAATTAATATTTTTAAACAATCTGCTTTTTTTACCCTTGACATTGTCACATATAGTTGACCGTGCGAGAAAACTGGTTCTTTTAGGTATAGCCCAACAAAATCGAATGTTTGCCCTTGTGCCTTATTTATTGTCATAGCAAAGCAGACCTTGATGGGGAATTGATGTCGCTTGAATGGAAACGGACAATTGTCATCCTTTGAAGGTTCAAGGGGTATTTTTGGTATGAAAACATGTTTGCCCTTGTGTTCTCCCGATGCTATGAAACAACTAATAACATGATCTCGAAAGTCATCACATATTAAGCGGGTCCCGTTACACAATCCTTCGGCTGGGTTTAGGTTCCGTAGTAGGATTAGTGGCCATTTTTTTTTTCAATACCAATTTGTGGGGAGGTAATCCAGACAATGTGATTGTGTGTAGGAAGTCAGCATACTCATGATGTGAAGATCGATCGAGCAACTCATCATAACTAATGTAGCATTTCTCTTCACCGGGCATGGTGGAGATCAAGGTGTTATTTAGGTCATCGACGAATTCATTTTTGGTCATCAATATTGCTCGTTTCATCAGCGGGTATGGGTCATTGATGAATTCGTTTAGGTTTGGGAACACGATGTTAAGCAACCTGTTCAAAGATTCAGTTTCTGTTGTGTATGGAATAAGAAATAATTCTGGAATTTCAATACAATCTCCGACAATAGTTTTTTCGGTTCCATTACCCACTCGCATCAAGTATTCTGAAAAAGATGGATCTTCTTTAGCTCGCATATTTTGGGTCAACACTAATCTTTCAACTGATGGCCAAAGAGTTTCTGATCTGACTAAGCTAGCTGCAATTAAATCTCTTCTTCTCCCAGCCCTAATTACGGGCAAGGTTTGTCAAAAATCACCTCCAAACACTACTACTTTATTGCCAAATATGCTATCACAATTTGTGATGTCTCGCAGTGTGGTGTCAACATTTTCGATCGTTTTCCGATTGGCCATTGTTGCTTCATCCAACAAAATCAACTTGCAGTCTCTTATTAATGTTGCTTCAGCACTTTGCTTTTCGATATTGCACACAAACCTATCATCTGTGTTTATCGGTATTTTGAACCTAGAATGGGTTGTTCGGCCACCAGGCAAGAGTGAAGCCGCAACACCAGAGGTTGCTGTTGCAAGTGCAATTTCACGATTTGATCGTACTTTTTCCAAGAGACATCGATACAAAAAAGTTTTTCTGGTACCGCCCGGTCCATCTACGAAGAATACTCCCCCATTACCAGAGTGAACACGACTTATGATTGTGTCGAATGTTGCTTGTTGAGGTGTATTCAACGATTGAATAGCTAATAAGTCAACTTCATTAGGCAGCAAACTCCGTTTTGCTTCTATCTCTTTTTGAATTCTTTGCTCTTTCATAATACCAATATGAAAAGAGACCAATGAAAAATCATTGATATTCCTTCAATGGTTGCAAATGCATCATTCATTTGGAGGAGGCACGTGTATTCTGCGTCGAGGCTATTTTTTGAAAACCGGAGTAGATCCTCACATAGGTGTTCTTTATATTGCAGCCACAATTTACGTGGCTGAGCGATATCACAAAATGCGAGTAGTGTTGCAAAGAGCTTACGAAAGCTGAAAGGCATTTGCCAACACATTGCTTCTTCCAGACATTGTTGTATGACTTGATTGCTTTGTAATAACCCCAACTTTTGTGCAGCTTCTCTAAAAGTTGCAGTGACATCTGAACCCACCGTTTTAAGGTGTTCATATGACTTTGGTGCTTTTACATTCATCAATAGCAACCGCAAATAGTACCTATCACCTTCCGTGGGGTTCACACTCACAAGCCTCCAAATTACTTCCCTTTTCTTACGTGGAGCCCATTTCTTGTCTTTCTCGACCCAAACAAAATACTTTGGAAAATGTACATACAACAAATTTAGCCTCTTAGCTGTTTCATCTATTGTGTTCATTGAAAAGAACTGAGTCAACATTGTTCTTTGGCCCAATTCATTTTCCACAAGGTCAGACAACTTTTTCTTGTTATCAAACCTCATATATTGGTAGTTATCCAAATGAATAGGCAAATGTACAACAGATGGTTTGATTTCTGAAAGGGAGAAAGCATATATTCTCAAGCAACTTCAGGAGGGGACACCCACCGAGCTTTTTGGAGGTCTTCAATTTCATTAATTGCATCATTCTCTTCCCCAGGGCATAAATTGATTGCAACTCGATCATGACCTTTGTAAATGTATTTGTAAATGTACTTGACACATTTGATACCGGCACATATCTCAACATTAATATGACAGTCATACTTTGACAATAGATAAGGGTTATAAGGGACGACCCATCTATTATCCAAACGTTTTCCCCGTACTGTAAGACATCTTGAGTTTCGCCGGCGCTTATAAATGGGATGAGTTATCACCCAATATTGTTGTCTCAGAATAATCTCTAGGATATGTATTCTTGCAAACTGAGACACCCATTTTCTTGGTCATGCAAGGATTGTCAGAGTTAATGGAACCACAAGGACCATGCATCATATGTTTTGCCACTAAAGAGTGCAATGCTGGTGTTTCCACTGGATCTGGTATTTCAGCACTGATAAGTGTATCAATTTCAACGCTTGTACGATACTTATGGTTTCTCCCTAGTATCAATAAGAAATGAGCATGTGGGAGGCCTCTTTTTTGAAATTCAATCACATAGGTATATGCAATTACTGCACCTAACAACTTTTTCTTTATGAGGTCAACCTTTAATTCTTCTATCTTCGCTCGAAACACCCTTGCAATCAAATCTGGTCTATTTTGAGCCTCATCATTGTGCTGCAAAAGGTTTTTAATTTCCGGCCAATTTGGATTACATGTCATTGTTAGGAAAATGTCTGGCTTCCCGTAATGTTGGACCAAAGCCATTGCATCCATGTACCTCCTACGCATGTCTCTGGGCCCCCCAATAAAAGAAGGTGGTAGAATTACCCTCTGCCCAACATTTGAAGCATTTGTTTCTCCCATGGCGATACTATTCATTAACCCTTGCATGATTTCGGTTCGAATATCACGTTGTTGTATTCGGAAATAGTCCAGCCTTTGTGTCTCAATCTTAATATACATGTCCACAATGAATTGCTGAAAAAGTCTACCAGAATGGAGAATTGCAGAGTCATTGTTTGGTCGAATTTGAAAATGGTAAGCGTAGTATTCTCTACAGGAGACAGTGTTTCTTTTATTTGTTGTAGCAGAATTGAAATTCTCACTTTCAAACAAAGCGTCAATGGAGGAAAATTGATTAGGGTGTAGAGATTGTGGACATGTGCGAGAGCTTGGGTGTGTTTTTTTAGGGAATTTTTGTATTCCTTCATGCCAACCACTTTCACCTTTTGGGAACAACAAAGGGTATTGTAATGGATCATAACAGCCATAATAGTATTGTACAGAGTGTGATCTACCACTTTTTGCGTACACTCTTATGTCACGGCTGTTTTGTGAGCCACAATCTCCTTCGTCTATCCAAATTGCAGCAACTTGAGAGGCGGTTGGTTTATTGAACACGCGTTAAGTTGGTCAACATGTGTATTTGACCGTATCACAATATTATAATCTTCAAGACTTGATACATCTTGAAGAGTTCTAAAAAATTGTGAGTACGGATTGCTTTCTAGGACACCAATAATGTCCTTTACAACACACGCATCCATGCGCTCAGCTCCGTTGATTCTGTTTTCGATTTCATGCTCAGTATCGAAGAAATAAAGTTGGAGATTTTTGGGGGGTTTGTCGGTCGGTATCAAATCATTGATAAAATGGTACATCTGACCTTGCACCTTGAACATATAAATCCCCTTGTTCCGCTTTGATAATTCCCTATCATAGTTGTGGATGCCTAAGGAAGTAAATGCAAATGTGTTGTTATATGTTCGAACACATGTTTGAAAGTGGCGAGCCGCTTCATCTTTTTCACAAAAGTACCGTTTGAGAAGGGCTGGCATTTCATTCGACAACAACACTACTTGTCCAATAGAGCAGCAAAAACCAGGGGGCTCATATTGAAATCGAATAGCTTCACAGTATTGACATGGCAGACAATCTTTAAGAATAAAACTCTGTTCTAGAAGCCACAGGTGAACAATATTTTGTGTGGAGCATTCTCCGGATTGTGGAGTATGTGGTGATATTTCTTCATGAATTGTATGGAATGGAGGAACAGTATTTGGTGCTTCCGTCTCGATAGAATCTTGAAGCCAAGAACCATATGACATTGGTTGCATACCAAGGGAAGACGCTGGACGATTGGAATCAATTGGAGCAATATTCATTCCATGGTATGTCATCATACGATTGTTTGAACGTGTTTGTGAATTTGAAGTAGTATGACATTGATGGATCCAAAAATAGTAGGAAAAGATCAAGTTAGTTGTGCGTTTGCACGACACAATTCAAACGAAATGGACAAATTAAATAATGTCAAATTATACCCGAACGAGCGTCTTCCGTTCGTAACGGGATAGATGCATTAAATTTGTTTCTACGACGTTGATTTAGATCGTCTAACATCTTTTTTTTCTTCTCAGGGTCCATTGATGCATACGCATTTCTCCTCTTCAAGTTCATCTCTGCTCGACGGCTTTCGTTTGAAGCATATCTCTCCCTACGTCTTTGATTCTTCTGAAGTCGGCTACTCTCAGGAGTGTTAGAAGGTGTGGTATTCATTTTGTGCATGCACTATAACTATTTAAATGCAAAAGTGTTATATATTAAAACTTTTATATCATAAGCCAAGAGAATGAATTAGAGGAAGGTGGTATGTGGCAAGTTCCTTCTATTTTTTTGGGTAGACGACTTTTTAAAAATAAGCAACAAGGATTTGTAAACTACGAATCCCTATTTAAGTAACATGATTGCAAATTTACACTTCATAGAAATGAGATAAAACAAATTATACATGATATATAAACCTAACTCGTTTGTATCAATGTAAACAGACTATCCAGACCCTTGAGGAATTGTGATGCGCTTGCTCGCTTTCTCTATCCTTTCAATAAAGGACATTCTCTTACCCCATACAAATTTAAACCTAGTTTCATTATTCCTAAAAGAGTAACTCTTAGTTTCTGAAATATTCCACACCCTTTTTTCCTAGGGGAAAAATGTTTGTGAGTAAAGGCATTTCACTCATTTAAACCCAAATGTCAACCATGTACTTTAAATTGTTGAGTCAAATCAAACATAATTTTAGTAAAAAAAATAAGAATTCTGTTAAAAAATATTGATAGGGGATGAGTGGTACACTCAAATATGTGGTATTTTCAGGAGGGAAAGCTGATTTTGTAGTGGCTATGTGATAGAAATTTTAAAGATTAACTTTGGAACATCATTTCGCAATGCGCGTCTAACAAAATTGTTGTATGACGTAGAAAGTTAACTTCAACAAAGTATACATATTTTTTTTTGTTGATTATCAATGTTTTATTCTCATTTTATTTAAAAAATTTACTAATTTAATTTCACTATGTTAATTAGGAAACATTTGAATTTCAAGTAAATATTTATAATAAGACGTTACTGATGAAAAGTGCAAAAATAGTCTTGTAGTACTGATTGCTTTAAATGTAATTTTAAAGTTGTATGAATAGCCTATTTATGAAATGCAAACTCACATAAAGTCTAGACATTTTTTTCCTAATTTCACAAGAAAAAGTATTTTACAAAATATCTAATATATATATGACTAAAAACTAAGTGTAAAGTCAATTATACCAGGCTTTTCTTTCCTTTCTGTTCATAATTCTGTTTACTAAACAGGTTTGAAAGAAAAAAGGCAGAAGATATTTTATTCCAAAAGTCAGAACAAGAGGTCATGAATATCAATTACTAAATCATCCATACGTAGTAGCAGCATCACACATTAAAGCACTTCAAGTTTATTCAAAAAGCATTTTTTTTTATTCCAAACAGCCACCACCACAAAACACTGGCCATTTCAAACAAAAGTAATCGGATATTTGGATGGCTTAAGCGACATAAACCAGAATATAACTTCTAAAAGCAGAGAAAGAGTTGCAAAGTTTAAGTAGTATACCTGAAAACATCTGACCCCAATGATAAAGAATATGTATATTACCAATTAAGAATATTTTGGTAATATTTTGTTTCCAGATTAAGAATATATATTACCAATTAATAGACTTTATTTTGTCATTCTATTCTACTTCTAATGCTTTCCTTAGCTTTCCCTGCTCCACTGTGTCTTTAAACAATTTTTCAATTCTTATAAAACCTATATCATACTATTTCTCTCATCAAGTTGTAGAAGAATAAAAAACTAAACTCATCCACAATGATCATAAGACCATCGCGAACTAATTTATATAATTGGGGTTGTAACTTTCATCTATATTTACAATCAAATTAAATAGTAAAGCTTCATCAAAAGGTATTGGAGCATAAATTGCTCATTTCACTGTAGTTCTAGCATGCATAGCTTAACAGATTAAAAGCATTTAATGAAATGCACCAACATATAAAGGTTAGTTAGCTAAATTACAGCTCCTCAAAAAGGCAAAAAGGAAGCAAGCAATCAAGATATAAAAAAGTGCAGATAAACTTAAAATTCACTCAAAGCTTGGACTTTTTTCTACAGAGTCAAAATGCATTTAATAGTAGCCATAAAGGGCGACGACTCACAAGAGCTGAAGCAAAAAATAACCAAGCATCTTTTTATGCAATAAAACTGTAAAATAGCATAGCAGATAGTAGACTAACCCATATAATTGAAAGTACTCAGATAAAATAGCATATTTATTATTATTAATATTATTATATCATTCTCATATATAATACTCCCTCCACCCCCTATAATTGTCCAGATTTACATACTAATGTCAGCCCAGATTTGAGTTGGAATTGATAATGGTTGAAGTAAACCTACTCGACTCAGAGTTTGGTATTTGTTCATTTGAAAATTTTCACATGCTTGCACATAAGATTGTATATCTGTTCTCATCTCATATTCCCAGCCATATAATAAAGTGTTGAAATTCTTTTCATGGTTCTGACATGTAAAATGTCCAGCATGCCTTCCAACCACTGAATCATGACTCTTTTAAGATCAAAGGAATCCTGGCAGAATGTTTAGGTAATAGCAACCTTCTTTTGTAATAGAAAAGTTCTTTTCTGAGTTTAAAGTCTGGGAAAGTGTCTGGTTTTCCCAGAATTGTTTGAATGACCTTTTGATATTTTCATCCTCGAGTAGCTCTTCTTCTAACCCTTCTCATCCCTTACAAGTCACTACTAATAAGCTACAAGCATTTTACTATGGCAATAGCATGCATTTATACTGTGTGTTGTACCAAACAAACCAACTACACAGTACTTCAGACACCAAATATAGGGAGAAAAATCAGGGCAGACAACCAATCAAATTCAGGAGCGAATAAAATTAGATACACCGTTAGAAATAACATGATCAAAACGATCTTAAGTTGATAAACTCAAAACGAATTGAAGCTGCATTTTTTATTTCATCTTTTTCCTTCACTCCTTAAGTTTTAATATTATCATATCCTATTCTCAAGTTTATTAAAAAAGCATTTTTTGTTGATTCCAAACAGCCACCACCACAAAACACTGGCCATTTCAAACAAAAGTAATCGGATATTTGGATGGCTTAAGCGACATAAACCAGAATATAACTTCTAAAAGCAGAGAAAGAGTTGCCAAGTTTAAGTAGTGTACCTGAAAAATCTGACCTTTAAGTAGTATACCTGAAAAATCTGACCCAATGATAAACTTATTAACAAGGGGTGAACTAATTTCTTTTTTTAAACAGACAGAGTTGTTATAATTAAAACAGAGTTATATATAAGTTAAGTCTACTGCCAATAAATTAGTAGCTAACATTGATTTCAACTTGACAATGATAATAAAGTGCAGTCTGGAGTTAGTATTTATCAAAATGAATTATGTTTGATCCATAAAAGCCATGTATGAACCAAAATCTGCCAAAAGAAAGCAGTAGAAGGCAATTTTTTTTAAAAAAATCAGATTAATTGATATAGATTAACTCATTAATGCTTTGAAAAAGTGACAAATATAGTTATTATTATGATAGGCAAATTGTAGAAATCAAGTGTAATGCTGGTTAAAGCAATAGCTAACCTTGGCTTGAAATGAACAAAAATGAAACATGCACATTGAAAAACCTTGTAAAAACATGGTTTTTTTCTCCTTTGATTTTTGTTCTATTATTTACTCAGGGTTGATGAATCAATATAGTGATGTTACCCCAAGGCAAACTGGGTATGTAGTTCAGGTTTCTAACAAGCCCCTTCAAGCTGGCCATCCCTCAAATAAACGCAAAATGATAAAGCTTTTGACATATTACAAGGAACGGGAAGTGATATTGTCATATCACACTTTTATTATTGTTAATCCCAAAATACTAACAATCATACAAACATAGGCAGTTATAAAAGAAGCAGATAGAAAGAAATCGACAAGATTGAACGCAAATCTGGTATACCGTATAAAAACTGGCCGCTGCTCTCCCTGGAGAAGAAGAGCAGCGGCAACCCTAATATCTCTCTATCTTTACGCCTCTGAACTCTAAGCCTCTGTCGATTAGTTAGGGTTCCCGTAAGTTAGCCTCCTTTTATAGGAGAAGTTAGCTAACTTACGGGTTACAAGGAAGCCCACGGGCTGATACACATTTGTGGCCCGTATTACACGTTTAATTAATAATTACACAAATACAAAGATAACTAACTAGATTGAACACCATAAAATATTCCCAACAATTATGTATATCATTATTATAAAGCTTTTGACATAAGCTTGTAGACATGCTACTGCCTTTGTGTTGCAGAGAATTGGTTTTGACATAAGCCTCAAGTCATGCTGACATTTAAACAAACACATAAATGACACTAATTTAAAAAGGGAAACTTCACAATGGCAAGATGGAATTATCAACTATAGCCACCCAAACTACTACCATAAAGAAACCTGGGAGTCCGTAAGTTCAATCAAAAAGAAATTTGGGAGGCGACAGATTTAAACAGAGAAAACCCCCAAAAATTCTCCATTGAACAAATTATACGAAACAGTTGAAAAGTGTAGAATGAAACAAAGATGCGGAAAACAGAGGGATAATCACACAAATCTGCAGGCAAAGCAACTATAGAATGAAAAATTATTGAATATAGACGAAAAACTCACCAGAGTAGAACAGGGCAGAAGCGGAAAATTGATTGAATAGCTGTGGCACGACATTTATAAGCAACCAAGGGAGGATGCTTGAGAAAACAAACTGTCCAAACGCCATTACTGTGAAGGAGGTATGTTGAGCGGTTGAAACGGAAGAGATGAGTCGAAGGGGCTCTGAGGATTTTTCAACGTATAAGGTAAAGAGTCGAGAAGGTCAGATCAGAAGGAATAAAGAAGGTCAGAAGGAATAGGTTTGGCCGAGCTATTTTTTTTTTTCAATGTATAATGCGAACATGTTTCCTCTGTAATAATAAGGACATAACGGTGGAAAGTGATGAGTTTAAAGATGTACAACAAAGTTAACAGAAAGTACATTCAGCTTATGCATCAAGAACACCCGCCAAAAGTTACAATCTGACAAAGAAACGGTGGCGTGTGCTCAATTGAAACATGGGTTGTGTGATATGCCAATGACATAACATGGATAAAATCAATACGTGAGAACCCGCACAGGTAGCTCAGTTGGTCGAGTGGTGGGAAAATTGGACCAAGTGACCGAGATTCGAAACCCGCAGCGGTCGTGTGTAGGTTACAGAACCTGAAATAAAGCTGGACCTCTGGTGCGCACGTGTATAAGGCCTACCGCCGTTTTGGCATATATTTCGATTTTAAGTATGCTAAACGCTTAGACTGGGAATTAAGGAAATTAAAATATGAACGTCATACCTCTGAAAAACTTCATGATGATAGAAGAAAACATGATGAACAGTTTCCCTGAGTTCCTGTGTAATGGATGATGTGCATCAGGTCTAATTTAAGTTGAAAATAAATCATGTAAAAAAACCAGTTTCAAGATTTAAATCGAATGCAAAACAAACCATTACAAGGATTCCATGTGATCACTAAAATGGAATTTTGAAACAAGCCATTAACAAGGAGTTACCAGAACAACTATTGGACTCCTCTTCATCACAAAATCTTGCCACTTCATTCCTAAGAACAAAATCTTTTCTTTAAGAGCCCGTTTGGTAACACTAAAAAATGGCTGAATTGGCTGATTCTGTTGAAATTTATGAAGTTCTGGCTGAAGTGGCTGTATTGGCTGATTCATGAAAAAATTATATTTAAAATATTTGTTATTAATAAATAAAATAAAAAATTATATGAAAAATAGTTAAAATGATCCTCTACAGTAACTTCAGCCAATACAGCCAGAAAAGTAACTACAACCTTACTTTTTCTGCTTATTACACAATTCAGCGTGCAAAATCAAAAGTTACGTGTTTGGTGAAAAGGCTGGCTGATAAGCCTGATAACCCGAAAAAAAAGTCACCAAACGGGCTCTAAATCATTTGCTTCCCTAGCCGCAAATGAATACAAGAAATTAGTGATGGACCAAGTTTAACACTGAGACATGTAAGAGCTTAGGGAATGGATATGAAATCAGGCTTTCCGCATGGAGCTGGATGTGAGAGTCTCGCCTATTGATTTTTACACAAAAATATTGCTCCGTATCCCCCAGAAGTTGAAAACCGTAAATGCAATCATGTGCAATTCCTCCTTTAGAAATTCCACAAAGTATGCCATTTTTAGTAAAATCAATCACAACTTGATAAGGATTAAGGACTGTATTCATCATTTACTTGCAAACTGTAATATTAATCCTAAAATAACTATCAATTTGTAGAGGTAGAATATAATGAAGTGTAAAAGACAATAGAAATAGATGGATGAGTGGACTTGGATAAGTTAAACATCATGGCTACATCTCATTGTAAGAAGTTTTTTAGTTAGATGACAAACAGATGTACTATTAATTGAACTAAAACCGGGCATAAGCACTGCTGCTTAAACTTGCAACTCACATGACATAATCTGCTAGATTTCATTTTAAACATGATATCCCAGGACAAAAGTGAATTCAAAAAAAATTGTAGCAATGACTTTTAAAATCCCAGGACAAATTGTTTTTGCAATTACTAATTTATACTATGCTAAGACACAATTAGTTTTTCCAAAAAATCATAGTATAAGTTAATGTCTCTGCAAAAGTGTTATCATAAGTTAAAGTTGCATTCGAACAACTAATGGCTGCATTCAAAAATATAAGATGGACAATAAGGAAAGTTAAATGGCTAAAGAAATGTCTTATTATTGTCTGGTTATTATATATCATTACGAAGGTAAAAGAATCACAATTGTATAAATTGACAATCACATTTTTTCATCATCAGGCTTTTAAAAACCACCTGGTGTGCTTTAAATTGATCTTTATAATTCAAAAGTGAAGTATTTGCTCGTTAAATACATTAAAAAAGTTAGAAGAGATAGAATTATTCAATGACTCGCTGGGGGAGAGCAGATTGGAAGATATTTTCAAACTCTCCATATAAAACTTGTTTTTATCCTCTATACTTCTTGAGCTTAAAAGAACTACTCGAGAGAGTGGCGTGTAACTCCATCTAGTTGCATTATCAACACCGTTATAGACTAAAATTTCGAAGCAGCTCAGAAAATCTTCAAAAAAAATGGCCAATGCGTAGTTGCAAAGGGGTTCAGAGAGACAACTTTATGAGAAATTAATGAAAAAATAAGACATGAAATAAAAGTAAAGAGAATTTCAACGAGGCATTCCGTCGAACATGTGAAATGCAAATTTATGACCACCAAATCTATGATATAATCCATATGAAGTTTGATTTATGTGGAACCGCAAAGTAGTAACTATTGATTGAAATACATAATGATGCATGAAATTCAGTTTTGTAAGGAGCTTCTGACGATATAGCAATGTACATCTCACAACGAAATGGCATACTTGAAAACAGATACAGAGAATGTGATGAGATTGATATAAATATATTTGCACCAATATCATTATAGAATGTTGATTCCATTATATTTGGCTTCCCTGTTGAACACAAACCGAGTCATTAGCTTCTCCTATGAAATGTAAAATGTGAAAAGATTCCTCTCGTTAGCTTTCCTCTCTCCACGTTACTCAAAAGTCTAAAGAACGCTATCTTTGTACAGTTTACTGTCACTACCGAGAGCCGGCTAACATCTGGAGATGAGTAGGAAGCATCAAGGTGGTGTTGATAGGAATTTAGGCCTACTGAGGAAATGCCGATTCTGAGGAGATGGGAACGTGGTGACTGATTTGCTTAACACAGTAGTTGTTAGATACAGAGAGACGTGAGAGCTTGTTGCTTTTTATTTAACAGAAGCGGCGGGGATATGACGGAGGAAATACTAATGGTACAACAATTAAGAAGAATCTACAATGAGTTGAAGCGTGGAGAGACACGAACATTTTTCACATGACTATTATGCCCCGAACATTATTCTCTCTTATAATATTGTAGATATATATATATATATATATATATATATATATATATATATATATATATATATATATATGTATCTATATTATACGATTGAAAAAATATTGTTTCAGTGATCCCTTCAGAGTGCTTCTGCCATGCTCCACTATTGGAGAATTCTTTGATGATGGGTTGATCGTTTAAATTTTTTGAATAAATTGTTTGATGATTTTTAAAACCTAATGATACATTTTCTTGGGAAAAAAATTATACAACATTAGACAATTTAGAGCCCGTTTGGTAACACTAAAATTGGCTGAATTGGCTTATTCTGCTGAAATTTATGAAGTTTTGGCTGAAGTGGCTGTATTGGTTGATTCTACTGATTCATGAAAAAATTATATTTAAAATATTTGTTGTTAATAAATTCAATAAAAAATTATATGAAAAATAGCTAAAATGATTCTCTACAGTAACTTCAGCCAATACAGCCTGAAAAGTAACTCGAACCTTACTTTTTCTGCTTATTACAAAATTCAGCGCGCGAAACCAAAAGTTACGTGTTTGGTGAAAAAGTTGGCTAATAAGCCTGATAAGCCAAAAAAAGGGGTTACCAAACGGGCTCTTATATTTTGATTTGGCTCAAATTACATTAGAAAATACATGCAGGTATACCGAAATTTGCTTAAAGTTACATGTTTATTGGCGTGAGTTACATGTTAACTTTCATCAACAAGTTACATCATGCTTACACGTAATTTACATTTTATATAATGCGAGTTCACCACAATATAATGCGAGTTACACAACACAATAAACCCTTGCTATTTAATGAAAAAATATTTTTATAAAAAAACATTTTTATAGCCCTGATATTAAAAACTAAACACAAACACCATTTGTGTAAAATAATTGGACAATTAGATTACTTGTTTTTATTATTTACATTGAAATCAATATTTTACTTCTTATATTTTGTCTTAGACAACTTACATTTCAACTTACCTCAAGTTACATTTATTTTCAATGTGAGTTACATTGTTTTAAGGGGTTTGTCCTCAAATAATACTAA